GGCCCTCCCTGGTGGTACAATGGGTTAAAAGCACAGCACTATAAGGCCTGCCCTCGTGGCACAGTGGGTTAAAGCACAGCACAAAGAAGCTAAAGCCACTTGCCGCATGCGTTTGATCCTATCCCCAGAGGTGACCCACATGGCATGGCAGACCTCTCCTGACCCGCCCCCTGCTCCCCTCAGCAGTGTACTTCTCAGTCAGCCTGTTCTGCTCCCCACTCTGTCTTTGGTGAATCTTCTCACTGCCGCTGCACCTCTGGCCTGTAACCCAGCTCTGTATGTATGTATAATCTTTTTTTTTTTTTAAAGAAAATAAAGCATAACACTATGAAGCTGTCTACAACCACTCTAGCATGAGTCCAATCCCTGGCTAGGGAGCTGACCCATATGGTATGGCAGACCTCTCCTGACTGGCCTGCTGCTCCCCTCAGCAGTGTTTCAGTAAACCCCATTCTGGTCCCTACTTTGTCTCTGGTGAATCCTTTCACCCCCTGAATCTCTGGCCTGTTCTCCGGTTCTTGCATGCATGCATAAATAAATCTTTAAAAAAAGAAAACACAACTTTTGGATATTCCACCCAGGGAGGCAGTCTCTACCTCCTTATTTGTCATAAGTAATTATTCTTTTTCCAACACACATAGGCCTCTTCTACTGACTAACACATCCTATGGTGAAGCCCTCAAGTTTGGCAACAAATTAAGCTTCCCTTTGATGAATCACATCATTCCATTGTGCATAAGCATTCTTTTGATTTGATTTTTAAAAAGATTTAGGCATACAAAAGCTGGGGTACTGGCCACAGGTGCAGGGGGTGAGAGGATTCTCACAGAGTGTGGAGCAGAAGAGGCAGATCTACTGAAATACACTGAAGGGAACAGTGGGGAGACAGAAAAGGTCTGCTGCACCATTTAGGTCAGCTCCCTGTCTGGGATCTAACTCATGCTGCAGTAGTTGTGGGACTGATTCATAGTGTTGTGCTTTAACCCTTTGCGCCACCAGGGAGGCCTGCATTCTTTTAAGAGCCACTGTGCAAATCGAATGAAGACTGCAAAATCTTTTCAACTTCCTCTGTATCTATATTTTTAAAGTCAAAATGCACATATACCTTAAAGGATTACAAACAGATTCTTGTATACCCATGTAAATACCCATGTAAATAGCTAAAAGGCAATGCAAGTGTCTATCAGCAGAGAATACCTAAAAGAATAAAATGTGGTACGTCCACTTTTTTTTGTTGTTAAAGATTTATTCGTACAGAACTGGGGTACAGGCCAGAAATGTGGAGGGTGGAGGGTGAAAGGAGTCACCAGAGACAGAGCGGGGAGCAGAACAGGCAGATCAACGAAGTACACTGCTGAGGGGAGCTGCGGGCGGGCGGGTCAGGAGAGGTCTGCCTCCTCATGTGGTCGCCTCAGGGGGCAGGCTGGGATCGAACTCATGCGGAAGTGGCTTTAGTTTCTTAGTGCTGTGCTTTAACCCGCTGCGCCACCAGGGAGGCCCCACGTCCACATTTTTTAATGCTATTTTGCCATAAAAAGGAATGGTGTTCTGACCCAGGCTGCACGGATGGATTTTGAAAACGTTAGGCTAAAGATGCAAAAGGACATTGTATGGTTCCTCTTATGTGAAATAGCTAGGGTAGGCTAATTCATAGCGATGGAAAACTCATTCGAATTTACAGGGAATGAAAAAAGGGTGTACGGAGAATTACTGTTTATGGTCACAAAACAGAGCTTCTATTTAAGGTAATGAACACATACTGGGAAAAGAGTGGTGATACGTGAAATTGTAAAGTAATTAACGTCTAATTTAAAATAGTTAAAATGGCTACCAGCATTCTCTTTTCCATCTCTATGAACTTGTCTACTCTCTAGGAGATTCATCCATTTATTTTGTGTTTGGCTTACTTCACGTCTTCAGTGCTAATCCTTGTAACAGCAGTTTCCTTTTCAGGGCCGAATAGTATTCCACGACATTTCTACTATAGTTTGAAGCTTACCTGTGTGTATGTACGTAGAATAATGAGTACATGCCAAAGGTGTGTGTATGTGGGAGGATTCACTAGATAGTGGAGAACAGAACAGGTAGATTTTACAGAAATATGCTAACTTAATCTCTAGGCCACCAGGGAGGCTTTTTATTACATAATCTTGTATGTGAGCTTGATATCACATACATAACCTTGTATGAAAAATCTGTAATTTACAAAGTATTTTTATCACATTAGCTCAAATTTAGACTGATCTAATCCAGGATGATTAAACTTAAAATTTGGAATGTAGGTTACTTTTCAAAAGATTCAAGTGTTTTATTTTTAAAAGGTGAGCAGCTTCAAATATTTCTCATTTAACTTAGTTGGTTTTTTGTAAGAGAACTGAAAAGAGAATTGATCTTTTAAAATATGAGTTTATTCTCCAGGCTTTCTTAATTACCCACAAATTAGTGTTCTTATTGCTGTTATATCCAGGAACTGAAAACAATTTAAAATATTTACTTTTTAACCAGACATTTAACACTTATAAGAGATAGAATGTAAGTGTATTATTTTAAAGATGAGCTTTTCAATGATTCGTTATGTAGAAATTGCAATTACAGAAATAGCTGAAAAAATCTAAAATAAATTATATACAAATAAATGGATACAAGGTATTTCACTAAAAACAAAAGTGAAAGTTTGCTGGTTAGTAAACTAATGAAAATAATATATCGAGTATTATCGCCTCCATATTCAAAACAAAATGGTTCTATCCAGCATTAGGTTTTGAACATCTCAAATGTCTTACCACCCTATGCTAATTCTTTTCTTTTTGGTAACACTAGGAAATTGGCAAATAACTCTTACATTTGCTTGATTAATGTGCAACAGGAAAAAAAAAAAAGAGCAATCAAGTCAAGTAAAATAAATGGTCACAGGGACAGTTACAAATGGCACCAAAACAGAATACACAGAGCTTAGTTTTATGAATATATGTTAAAGCAACAACAAAAAGTAATTGCATCTGAGATCTTCACCGAAATATTTTGGCCAAATATTCAAGTCTGGCAAGAATAAAGGAAATGATTCCCTAGAATGATGAAGTTAATGAGAAGTAAATTCAAATTAGCACCAACTTTACTTACAATTTAACAATGCAAAATTATTTTATTCTCTATCCTTTTAATTCAAAGTAAAATTAAAACCATATTCTTTCTGCTAGTGTGAACTTCTCATGTTTCTGAACTTGCCATGGTTTTGGTTAGCTTTTTAAAAGTGATAGCAGATGTCAATGTTATGTGACTAACACATTAAATTTCCAATGAATAAAATTAAGACTAATAGTATGTTACTGTTCACAATGACTCAGCACAAACAGTTAAGGTCCCACAATTGTCTCCAATTCTGGGATCATGCAATAGGACAATTCAGTGACCAATAAAATGGAAAATGAATTTTGAGAACTGCTGTTAGCAGAATGCTTCCCCTCCCTCATTTGGGTTTTTTAAAAAGAAGACCTCACACTTTCTTCATTAAAATATCATTTTAAATAAACTTCCAATACTGTTTCATTTTTCTGTTTTCTCTGGAATAAATCAAATTTTCAAAATTTGCTCATTAATTGATCTCAAATGTTTTGCTTGAGAGTGTTAACTTTTGTTCCATTCTAAAAATGTCAATATTCTATCATTTGCTAAGAGGGTGGCCTCAAGTCTTTATTGTAGTCCTTTAAAAGCATTTTTAGGTTGTTTATCCAGTGTTCATCTAATACAATTAAAGTTCCCATGAAAAGAATGAATTTGGAGCCAATGATGTAACTGAATCTATAAAGTTAAAGTCAAAGAAGATAAAAAATGACTTTGTATGTTTTATGTTAAATTGTGTCAATACCCTGACACTTGATTCTGTTTAACAATTGGCTGAGTAAGGGGAAAGGACTGAGAAATCAAGTTACTGTAATGGAAACCAGTTGGAGGGGGAAAAAAATTTAAATTTAAATAGATTTGCGATTACTCTACCCACAGTTTGTCTAGGAACTTTCTGCCACAATACTAAAATGCAAAATCTTCACTAATTACAACTCTAGGCAAATATTTTTATATGTCCTCCTTTGCTTTTTTAAGTTCTACTAAATAATTGATAGTTTTACAGCAATATTTATTTTATTTAAAAAGCACTTGTTAAATCACTAGTCCACAAAAGGTTCAGAACACGGTAACCATAGAAAGTAAACGTGCATATACTGCTTTTATTGTCATAATTATGGTTGTTAGCTGAATGAAAACAAAAAATAGCTAAAAAGATTTCAAACGATAGAAAAATGTATCTGGATAAGTTATGACACAATTTTTGAGTACTGAGACAAGAGAAACGTAATACAGTTTTGCATCAATCAATAATGCAAAGTTAACAATGAAATCATGGAACTGAAAGGTTGAAAGGGGCTCAAACTTACTCACTATTTTTAAAATTTTAGACAAGGAGCTGAGAATAGAAAACACCAATCCCAACATATACACCATGAGACCATGAGAGTCCTTTTCTTTTTTTTTAATAATTTCCAATTTTAACTCTTTTCTAATAGTATCAGGGGCACTGAGGCCCTTATTGTAGATTATGTATCATCTCCTCTTTGGCTATGAGGTGTGTAGTTTTGTTAACTAGAGACATCAATGAGTTCAGTTTCTGAGACCAGTCATTTAATAAATTATTTGGATCCTTGGGTCTCTGGAAGTTGATAATTCCTGCCAACCTGTCTACTTTAGCAAAGATCGTCTTGTTAACCACCAGGTTCGAGAGAAAAGCCTCTGACTCCTGCAAAAGACAGAGACAAGTTGGATTAAGACAAGATACTCGTAGACTATAAACATAATTCAAGAAAAGCATTTCCTAAACTCTTCATCCAGGGCTATGCAGGGCTAAAATTCATCACGAAGAGTTAGCAACTGCCGCTATCTTGTGATGATACACTTATGTCACTGAGCGCCTAAGGAATGGCCAGAATCCGAGTCCTCCCAGAGCAAGGCTGAGTCTGAATCTGCCTCCCTGCACTTCGTTTGACATGAACCCAGGCCAAACACAATCCTCATCTGCATGTCCCAGCACACCGCCAGGTGAACTGCAAACATGTCTCCCTCAAGCTTTTATTCTGTACTTCACTTCTGGGAACCAAGACACAGTTATTACAGAAACATATGGCTTGGACTTCAAGTCAATCAACCCAAAGATTTATTTACTTAGGTGAAGACTTAACCATACAAATAATGTGAATGGAATTACACACTTGATTGATAGTCCAGGCTACTTTTTGGTACTCAATGTAACATGAAGAAACTGTGTAGTACCTGAACTAAATTATTAAATAACAAAACAAAACTGACACTCTCACTTGATTTTACAAGTCAACTGATAATCAAAATGAAGGGTTACTATAAGTGACTCAGTGTTGACTACTACTTACATCGACAGACAAATCCAGGAGCTGTGCCATCCTCTTCATTGTTATCCTTGTATAATACTTGGCCATTATTCTAATATTCTGGGGAGAGGACAGAGGGCAGTTGTCAGCCTGAAAGTCCATTTGTTTTCACACCCAAGCAGACCAGGTAATATGTCAGACCTAGAGCTCTCACTTTCCTGTAGCCCACCAGGGAATGACAGGTATTCTAGGTGCTGCAATTACTTGTAAGTTATTTGAGTATTTTCCACAACTCCCTTAAAAAATTATGTAGTCAAATACTGACTTATTGGAACCAAATTAGTGGTTAAGAATTTTAATTGTACTAATTATTTTTGTTAAGTGCAAGAATCCAAAGCTAAGTTTCTCTAATTATGACACAAAAGCCTAAAAGACAAAAAATAAGATATACTAAGTGCTATAAAATACCACTCAGTCAACATTAACACTAAGGGTAGCTTAAAATTAAACTTCCCACTTTTCACTGGAAATGATGCTGATGTTAGACTCTTAATGCCTTCTCTCTTAAAATAATGCTGCTCTATCCACTGTACCTCAAGCTCTTGGTTAACTGCCTTAATTCAAGTCCATATACTCACTTAACTTGTCTCTTCTCCAGGATGATGCCTCTCGAAATCCATTCTCCACATTTATTCCCAGAGATCTTTTTAAAATACAAACCTCATCATTATCCCCTCTGCTCATAGCTTTCACTCTTGGGGTGTAGAAACTCTATTATGATCTAGGCCTTTTCTTTATCTCTCTTTTCCATTCAGCCGAGCCCTTTTTCCTGGAAGCCCCAAGTCCCCAGGCTTCCCTGCCAGTTTGGGCCTCCTTACCCTTGCTTAGATTATCCTATCTGCCTTAAAAAGGCTAGAGTGGGGTGAAAGGATTCACCAGAGACAGAGCTGGTAGCAGAACAGGTGGATCTACTGAAATCCACTGCTGAGGGGAGCAAAAAAGACAGGAGAGGGCTGCTGACAGCTCGACAGTGCTGAGACTTAACCCCTGTGCCACCAGGGAGACTCTACTTATGACTTATTTTTAAGTTACTTGCAGGTAGGGACCACAGCTTCTATAAGTCTCAGCATTTTGTAGAGTGTCTGGCACATAGATGGATCACAATAATCAAGTGAATTATGTGACTATTGATAAAATTCAATCTGCAGTGATACCAGCAAGATCAAAGTTCAGGATTAACATGTGTTACACATTTCCAAGACTTACCAGTAAGTATTGAACAGAACTCCCCATGCCACACAAATTCATCCTGCCCACATGCTTAAGAAATTTCTTCTGTTTTGCACATTAAAAAGTTTTGTATTAAGAGGGGTTCTCAAAATGAACCACACTAAACATGGCTATCTTTTCTAAAAAGCCAAAGGGGGAGAAGGGGAGAAGAGGGACGAAACAAATTCTGCTAAGCTTTGAGAAATTTCTAATAAATGTTTCAATAACAAACTTAAAATAGCGCGAGACTGAGATGGGAAAACTCCTGAAGTAAGGAATTAAAGACATAACATTCCAAAAAACATTGAACCTGAAAGTGAACTGAACTTTTCAAGGAACCTGAAAAGTAAAACACTTTTGCACAAAGATTATTTCCAAACTGTCACTGTTCCCATGCCAAATACTTACATGTTCAACAACTCTGTTCTTCAAGTCTTTCCACCTTTTTTCACCTTCCTCTGTATAACCAAAAACATCAGTTGCAGGACTCTCCAAAGAACCTTTTCTTAATTCCATTCCATAGTCTTCAACAAGTGTGGACCAACGCATCAACTCCATTGTAGTAAAAAGTTTTAAAAGATCCCTGTAAATTGTATAACACTTAATATTCCAAATCTATAAAATCTAATACAAGAGCAAAATTTTAGTACCAACAAAGAGTTTTTTTTTTTTTTTTTTTAAGATTTATTTGTTCATATAGAACTGGGGTACAGGCCAGAGGCTCAGGGGGTGGCTAGAGGCTTCACCAGAGACAGAGTGGGGAGCAGAACAGGCAGATCGACCAAGTATACTGCTGAGAGGAGCAGTGGGTGGGTCAGGAGAGGTCTGCCACGCCATGTGGACTCCTTCGGGGCAGGCGGGAATTGAACTCATGCGGAAGTGGCTTTAGCTTCTCAGTGCTGTGCTTTAATCTTGTGCGCCACCAGGGAGGGCCTTTATCTATTTTTATTTAGTGGAACAAGATACTGTGCCAGCATTTTTTTTCAACAGTAAATTAATCAGAGCAGATTAGCACTAAATAAGCTACTCTCTCCTGATTCGACAGCTTTTTAAAAATAATTGGCTATATACTTAATAATGAAACAGAAGAACGATTAAAATAAAAAGCTCATTGCGCTTTTGTCTACAGAGTATCTGTTTTATGCAGTAAATTTTTAGTATCTGTGAGCATTACAAAGTCCTAAACTACTGATAAAACTTAATCAAATGCTTGATTGATCAAAAGCTGCTAAAGTGAGCTTAAAATAAAGCTTCTTGGGAAGTGGTTTAGAATAGTTTGTTATAATCTAGTTATATTAATTTCTAATATAGTGCTAAAAAGTCACCACTTTGTTAGCTCTATTTTTATTCTTGAATAGAATCTTAAAACAATCAATTCTGATTAAGAAGTATGTATCCAACCAAATTTCTGTCCAAGTGGCATTTCTGAAATAGTACTTACTTGTATTTAGGAATTTCTTCTAATTTCTTATCACCACTTATTCGATGAACCAAATCTGACTGTTCATTGTCAAAAGGAGCCAAGATAACATAAAGGACAACACTTTTCAGAGCCTAAAACAGTTGTACAACATAATTAATTATATGCAAAATTAGAAACAAAATGGAAACTTTGGCAGAAGCTGAAAAGCCATTCAAAAATTGTGTATATATATTAATTTTTAATACCATATAAGGGGAAAAAATTCTTTCCAGACTGACCAATTCACAGTGTCTTCTTGTAATACTTAGTTTTCATAAAATTATGACAATAAATCTTTGATAATTAGAATTACAACCCAAGGGGACTTTGTTCTGACAAGTATATAAAGAAATAGCTCTTATAATAAAGTAACAGCAAATGTATGTCCATCATGACATATATAAATATAAGCTATTTAAAATAGCCTTTAAAGTAACTTTCCAAGGTAATGCTAGGGCTTAATAGAAGCAGCACCATCCAATTACATGTAATTACTGAATTTAGTTATTTCAAAATAAATTAAAAAAATGCAAACTTCTTATAAGCATCAGTGTCGAGTAAAAGGAAACGCTCTCACCTGTTGCCGCTTTTCACTTTCTGCTTGTATACAGGGCGTGTCATATATTGCTCTGTAGTGCTTACAAATAGACAAATAGGAGCCCTCATGCTGATCCAGCTGAATCATTAGGTTATAGTATTTCAACTTTAATTTCTGGAAAAAAAAAAAAAGAAAGAAATTGGAATTCATAATCCACCCCCCCTCCCCAAACACTTTCAAAGTAAATTTACAGTAAGAGATGGGATTACCTCCGTATTTTCTTCCTGGAAAAACTTGGTGTTAATTTTCTTGCTGATGATCTGTGTGCGAATGTAATCCTTCACAGCTAGGCAGAGCCTCATTTGTTCCAAAATAAATTCCACTCGCTCTTTTTTTTCCATTGACCCGTAGGTTTCCACCTGGTAAAATCCCCCAAAAAATGCTTTAGTAATTTAAAAACTGCAACCAAAATAGATATTAAAATATTCACCCTTGTAAAAAATAATGATCTTCACGTATATGGGGAGAATGATGACAACAATACAAAAAGTTAGCTTCCTGGCCCTCCCTGGTGGCTGAACAGGTTAAAGTGCAACACTATGAAACTTCTGAAGCCACTGCAGCAGGAGTTTGACCCCCTGCCAGGAAGCTGACCCACATGGCACAGCCGAGCTCTGCTGACCCACCCGCTGCTCCCCTCAGCAGGGTATTTCAGTCTTTCTGCCTGTTCTGCTCCCCACTCTATGTCCAGTGAATCCTCTCAACCCCCGCACCTCCTGCCTGTACCCCAGTTCTTGCATGCATGCATAAATCTTTTTTTTTTAAAGTTAGCTTCCTCCGGAAAATTACAAAATAAAAAAAGATTATAATAAAACGGCTTTTCCCCATTTCATATAAAGTTCTATGAATTTTATCACATGTGTAGGTGTGTATAAACATTATCACAATGTAAATACGAAACAGTCTACAAAAAAGGGGAAAAATACAGTCGTAGCACCCCAAAACTGCCTCACGCAACCCCCTTTTGTCTTATTTTCCTCACTTTCTAATCCCTGAAGGTCAATGATCTGTGTTCTATCACACCTACCCTTTGCAAGAATGTCACACACAAGGCCACCCTGGTGGCACGAGGGATGAAGTCTCGGCACTATGCTGCTACTGGCAGCCGCTGCAGCATGAGCTGATGCCCTGCCAGGAAGCTGGCCTACGTGGCACAGTTACTCTCCTGTCATACCTGCTGCTGCCCTCAGCAGTTTATTTCAGTAGATCCACCTATTCTGCTCCCCATCTATCTCTGGTGAGTCCTCTGAACCCGCCACCTCTGGTCTACATCCAAGTTCTTGTATGCATGAAAAAAAAAAAAGAACTAAAAAAAAGTCACACATAGTATGCAATCTTTTGAGACTGTCTTTGTTCACTCAGCATAATGCTAAGTGGAATAATAAGAATTCGTTCAAATTGTTGTATCTATCCAGGAATTCAGTCCCTTCCCCTCGCTTTTTTCAGTTCATTCTTTTTAAATGACCAGGTAGCATTCTACTGTCGGAGCCAGTTTATTCACTCACCTGCTGAAAGCTAACCGGGTGCCACTTTTTGCTTACCACAACAAAGCTACTCTGAATCTTAGCGAACAGGTTTTGTGTGAACTTGAAATATTTACATGTAAGTAAATAAGCTTTAATTTCTCTTGGGTACCCAGGAGTGGTAAGTGTGCTGCTGAACAGTTTTCCAAATGGCTGCACCGTTTCGCATTTCCATCAGCAGCATGAGGAGGGCTCCAGTTGCTCTGCGACCCTGCCAGCACTTGGTGTGTTGTCAGCATTTCTCAAATTTTAGATTTCCTAATAGGTACGAAATGGTAATGCACTGTAGTTTTAATTTGCATTTTTCTAATAGCTAATGAGGACATTGCTATTCTCAATAAGAAAAAAGATGCCAATTGCTGACTTTCTATTTATGTAATAGCTAAAAACCATGCCATAAAAAAGGCATTCGTATTTAAATTTCAGATAAGGCTAATATGATTCCTAAAGATTAGAGAATATGGAATTAATGTAGAAATACACAAATATAACAGAGAATCACATCAGCTACCATGGAAAATGATTCTACTATGATATTTGTCATATAATTATTAATACAAAATATTGTATATGAATTTAGAAAGTCTAGAATGGTTCATTTACAATGTAGAATGGACTAAGAGCATCAGTGACTTGAAGATGATTCTACTTCAAAATTAAAGAAAATATAACAATGAATCATCAGCGTTTTGTTTATAAATCTTTTTCTTCCCTCAATGTCAAATACTTTTTTATAAAAGACTAATTTTCACTGATTTATGCATACAAGATGGGGAGCAGGCTAGAGCTGTTGGAGGATGGGGAAGGAGAGGATTCCCTAGAATCAGTGAAACAGAGTGAGGAGCAGGACAGGCAGATCTACTGAAATACATGCTGAGAACTCATGATGCAGTGGCTGGAGATAGCTTGATAGCACTGAGACTTTGACCCCTGAGCCACCAGGTGGGCCCCATGTCAAATACGTTTGAAGCAAACCTCTGACAATATAATATATGTAAATATTACATTATGTGTTTCTAAAATTTAGGGGAGGAAGCATACCTAAAATTCCTAGTGCTGTGCTTTAACTCACTGCGCCACCAGGGAGGGCCCTAAAATTCTTTATATTACCAAATATTTAGTCTGTCTCCAATAGTTTCATTTATTTTTTAAAATTGAATCAGAATCCAAATAAGGCTCACCCTTTTCAACTGGTAGATGTATTTGTCTTTTTTCCTTGCCATTTATTTGTTGATAAAAATCAAGTCCATCATCCCATAGTTTCCTGGAGTCTGAATTTTGCTGACCACAACTTTGGGTTATTTAATGAGTTTCTCCCTACAGAAATAGCCTATAAACCAGTAGTTAAACCTAGAAGCTATATAATTGGGTTCATTTTGGGGGGGCAAGAGTATTTTACTGGCAATGTTAAACCATAAAGCACATAATCCTCCTGGTCAAAAACTGTAACTTGAAAGCAAAATTATGATGCCAGAAAAAGTGTGGAAATAAATTACTTCTACAAGTACATACTGCATACTGAATATACAGGTTTACACGCTCCAAAACATAACACCCACCTGTAATTCTTGTAAAATGGAAGCTGCCTCCTTTACATCACCATTTTGTTCCTTTATAGTTGCTAATGTTTTAGTCAGTCGAGCACGCTCAATTTCAACATAAATCTATAAATGTAAGAAATTTATATTTATATTATCAAAATTCCTACAAAAACATGGTAAAATTTAAGTTAGGTATGAGCACATGTGTCCTACAACTATTGTATTACACTTAATTTTTTTCAATCATATAATTTTTAATATCCATATTCTGCAACTTTATTATGAGAACCTAAATATGAAGTCACTATTGTTAACAAATAACCGGCACAATTCTACATAAATGTTGCTGCCTTTTAAAAGGATTGGAAAGAGAATGGAAACTATCTTTAAAAGGATTTTTGAAAAATAATACTTTACAAAGAGAACATGCAGCCCAGTATCTATAGTTCCACTAATACTCTGATTCTGACATTTTTAAAATACAAGGCTACTTGCCTTACAAAAATCTGTTCTTACAAAGTATTAAAGTTGCTAACATTTCTTACAGTTATACATAGCAGTGGGTATATAATTTCCAACAAACATTATAAATACAGGACTATAACCTAATAGACTAGGGAACTAATTTTCTGACTTAGGCCTGCTTACCCACTTCCAAAAATTTTAACCCAAAAAACTTTAGTATCTAATAATAACAAAGTGCTTACAGCTTGCTAAAACTACCACGTGGTTCTTACCATGGTAGTTTCATATACAATTTCCCCTATGTATAAAACGCCCTTTCCCCTACTGACCACCCTATAAAACTTTCATCCATTCCTAAAAAGTCAGTCTAGCCATCACTAAGTCTTCGAGGCTTCCATGGAAACAGCCTGATGGAGTCAAAGGATACACAGCTGTGGCCATGACAGGGCTCACGAGCCAGTCCTATGTCCTTGTCTTCGGCAGCTGCCTCGAGGTAAGAACACTGTCTTGCTCACTTTGAGCACAACACAAGTATTCAATATACACAAAACCAAATTGGCAGTCAAAGAGGCAATAAGTTAAAAATAACCTAAGATTTTACCCTTAAATTATAAAAATCTATCTAGAAAAGAAACGTTTTCCAACAATCATTATTTCATATTTGCCCTTTTTAGAGACATGAGGTTAAAGGGGGAGGTGGGGAAAGGCAGTGAAAGAAAAAGAGATTCTAGCAAGACAGTGAAATTTGGAAAATAAATCTCACACTACAAATATTCTATTCATTTAAAATTAAACCCTAGCTATCTCAAAACAAAATTTTCAAGAGAATCTAGGTCAGGGTGAAAAATTAAGTCATATTATCTTTAATTCATTATTAACAAATATAATTTGGGATTAGATCACTTAATTCCGAGAAAAATCTGGATATACCAAGACTGTCACTATTAAAGCATACTCATTTGCATAGGGAGACATTTGAAGGAGATGTACTAAGATTCTGGTTGTGCTAAAGGTAATGACATTTTAAGTATTTTGCCTTTTGCCTTAAAAAAAAAAAAAAAACAACAACACACATACATACTTACCTTTCCTTCTGTAACCATTCGTAGAGTATCAATTAATCGAAGCTTGATTGGAAGATCTGTGATTTCCTCGACATAGGTACAGCACTGCTGAACCATTTTTGCAACAGCCTAAAATAATAAAAACCACTCATAAGTAAATTACTCATACAGGAAAAATTTACTTATTTATTTATGCATACAGAACTGAGGTACAGGCCAGAGGTGCAGGGGGTGAGAGGATTCACCAAAGATAGAGTGGGGAGCAGAACAGGCAGGCCAACTGAAATACACTGCAGAGGGGAGCAGTGAGCAGGTCAGGAGCAGTCTGCCGTGCCATGGGGTCACCCTCCTGGCTGGGAACTGAACTTGTGCTGCAGTGGCTGCGGAAAGCTTTATACTGCTGTGCTTTAACCCGCTGTGCCACCAGAGAGAGCCTGGAAAAATGTATTTTATTGATCAAGTATTATGATCAAATATGGCCTCCCCAAGAACTCAAGATACTGAAATGTCTACATAAGAACATGAAAAGCTCCCTGACAGCTAAGACGTACTGAATGCCCAGTAACAAATGAATGAATTTAGGAAGCCTCTCAGTTACACTTCACTATTGCTACCACTGGTGAAGGGACTTCACAAAAGGAAAGGTGGCGGAGGTATGTCGGGTAATGTCTATGGGAGGCTTGCAGGCTACTTCTTTTGTTTGTTTTGCAGCCAAGCAGCCAAGCATGGAAGAAGTAGCAGCAGACTAAAGGAAAATGAGGTGGCAGAAGAAAAGCAGAGCCCAACAGTGGCCTTGAGGACAGTGAAGCCATGACCAACAATTACTTTGGCTAGCGAAACTAAGAGTCCGTGGCAGAGGTAAACAGTTCCATCATCTCGGTGGGAAGGGGAAGCCCAGTGCCCATAATTACCTCAGTGAAACAGGACACGGCAAGTCATAGCATCCACTGCCCAGTTTCCTCACAGGTAATACAGGCAGGCTGGATTACATTTCTTCCAGCTTTAACACTCTATGATCACCTCAGTGGTCAGCGAACATTTTATGTGAATTTTTATAAATACTAAAATAGCAAATACTTTAGAGTTTGGGACTCTGTGGCAACTATTCAACTCTGCCTTTGTAACCCCCAAGTTGAATGGACAATATACGACACTGGGAGTAGCTATGTTTCAAAAGTTTTATTCACTAAAGTGGCAGGCAGGATTTGGTCTGTGAACCCCTCATTTGGCAATCCCTAATCTAGATTCAGAATAGCACCCCACAATCATTGATAATAATAATTAGGACTCCTTGTCATCAAGAAAATGATAATTACATCAAGCACATTTTGTTTGATATAGCAGAAAAGGAAACACTATCATCTTATCAGTTATACCTCAATAAAACGGGAAAAAAATTAGGATATATCTTACAAAGATTTCCTTGAAAAATATTTAATGTTCACATAGCTTAGTATTTTTTTAATTATTACAAAAGTTTATTTTTACATCATTTTGCACATTTTTTTTTAGTATTTTTTTTTAAAGATTTATTTATTTATGCATACACAAACTGGGTACAGGCCCAGTTCAAGTGTACGGTGGTTAGGAGATTCACCAGAGACACCGTGGGGAACAGAACTAAAGGACTGACTGAGATCCACTGCTGAGGGGAGCAGCAAGAGGGACAGGAGAGGGTCACCTTCCTGGCTGTGGAGAGCTTCACAGTGCTGAAACTTAACTTGTTGTGCCCCAGGGAGGGCCTCAGCTTAGTTATTATTATTTTTTTAATTAACTAAGAAACCTAGAAGTTCCAGAAAGCAAAGATTTCATTGTAAAAATAACCCTTTTGTGCCCCCCCTGTGGCGCAGCGGATTAAAGCACAGCACTAAGAAGCTTAAGTCACTTCCGCATGAGTTCGATCCCCGCCTGCCCCGGAGGTGACCACATGGCGCAGCAGACTTCTCCTGACCCGCCCGCTGTTCCCCTCAGCAGTGTACTTCATCAGTTCTGCCTGTTCTGTTCCCCATTCCTTTCACTGGTGAATCCTCTCACCGCACCTGTGCTTCTGGCCTGTACCCCAGTTCTGTATGCATTAAGTAATTAAATCTTTGAAAAAACAAAAAACCAAAAAACCCTTTCAATAAGTACATGGCTCTGGGATACCTGGTATCTCACAAAATAAGATAACATGATCCCTCTAAAACTGGCTATAATGATGATTTCTAGAAAGGCATACAACTTGGTAATTCTAAAAGCTGTGCAAAAAATACATTAACAAAACTAGATGAGGCAAAAGGAAAACAAAACTATCACATCAATATTCTAATGATAACATCCCACTGGTCTTAGGAAAAAAAACGTGGGTAAGCTATTAGGAGGTTGGAGCAAGGCTTACCCCCTGGGCCCAAGTGACAGACAGTTAGTTAAAAACCATTAATTTCGGCCCTCCCTGGTGGTGCAGCGGGTTAAAGCACTGCTCTAAGAAGCTTAAGCCACTTTTCATGAGTTCGATCCCCGCCTGCCCCGCCTGCTGCTCCCCTCAGCAGTGCACTTCGTCAATCTGCCTGCTCTGCTCCCCACTCTGTCCCTGGTGAATCCTCTCACCCTCTGCGTCTCTGGCCTGTACCCCCCAGTTCTGCGTGAATAAATAAATAAATCTTAAAAAAAAAACCATTAATTTCAAGCACTCTAGAAAAGGTTATTTAAAACAAATTACTCTCTAAGATTGATAAAGCAAAAGAGAAAACTTTTAGGTAAAAAGTTCTAATTCTAGGAAGAGGAAAGAGGTGTGCTGAGCTTGTGAGCTCCTCCCACAACATGGCACAGCAAAGTGCGCAGCCCCAGTTCCAGCTCTGGTTATGTTATCTGCTGACTGTGAGAGCAGCTCCAACTTCTTTCTTCACGAAAGCCTCCCCAGTAAACCTGATCACTTCTTCTTCCTCCTAGCTCATGGCACGTTGCTCTACTGTCACAGCTTGTAGCTCCTGCCATGTACGTTGCCCAGTGTGCGCATGCCATTTACTCCTTTTAAAAAATCAATCCTGTGACACTTGTTAAAGATGCACTATGGTAACTTACGATTTGTGGTCTATACTAACCACTGGGTTACTCGAGGGCAGGAGCTGTCAATGGCATGTTTCTTCATACTGCAAGAGCCTTACAATTAAATTTCAGTTTCTCCATCAGAAAAAACAACACAGGGGCCTCCCTGGTGGTGCACAGGTTAAGTCTCATCACCTCTAGGGTCTGCGTTCAACCCCAGCCAAGGAAACTAGCTCACATGGCGTGGCAGACCTCGCCTGTCTCGCCTGCTGCTCCCCTCAGAGTGTACTTCGCAGTCTGCCTGCTCTGCTCCCCACTCTGTCTCTGGTGAGTCCTCCCACTGCATCCTCTCAGTAGCCCCTCTAGTCTACACCCGAGTTCTTCTTTGCATAAATAAATAAATAAATCTTAAAAAAAAAAAAAAAAAGCCACAAAGTAAAATAGTCCCTTCTACTAGTTCTGATATTTGATGTCTAAGAAATTAAATTGCTACTTTAGGATACATGTTTTGAACAGTGCTAATATTATATATAATACCTATTTTTGTTTAACCCATACGGCCTCAAGAAACCTAGATATGTAGCTCGTTCAAAATTATTCCACCCACAGAAAAGAAAGTAAATCTTTTAATGATTCAGAGGAAAATGACAGTTCATCTACACGGGCCTCTCAAGTCAAAGAAGAGAGCACCAAAGGCATAGGGAAATAAACTTCATATTCACTAAAGCTAGGCTGCCTCAATATGCTAATTCTTAAAGGCTGAATTTTATCTGCACATAAACTCACTAAAAACAAAAAAGGGAAACAATTACAGTAACTTTAGTGCATAACAGAACAGAACCCAATCTTAAAGGAAACTCAGTCTAGCAGCAGATAAAAAGCAATAAAATAAGGAATTTGGACAAAACCCTACAAATCTGTTTTGGGTCTACAAGTACCCTGTATGACAATGTCATTATCTTTATTTGTAAGCAAAAAAACGAAAAAGCCAGACACTGCTCAGGGAACAGCATGTCAAAAAATGAGAAATAAATGTAAAAAGTAGAATCTACTTTCATAAAGAATCATTTAAATGTATCTCAGACAGAAAAACAAGGAAACAGTAAAGAAAATCCAACTTCACAAAACACAAACACCAAAAATACATATAAAACCTTTAAACAAAAATAAAGTAGAAATAATCTGTCTGCAAATGGCCTTAAAAGTAAGTTAAATAAAGAGTTTATAAAAGACAATAAGATTCAGACAACTATAGACCACCAATTTGATGAATTTTAACACAAACACTTACAATAATAAAAATGAAGACATGGTGCAATACGGAAAGACAACAAAGGTGTATCAGCTTTCTCAGTAAAGTTTTACAAAAACATTCAAATATATAAAGACTGAAAGAAAAAAGTTGTCGTCATGAGCATATGGACAGAATTTTAAAAAACTTCCATGCTGTAATGCTGACTTACTAGATTTTTGAAGTTTCATAGTTTTTGTAAATGTCTTTATGTAAATGTGAACACATTGTTTTTTGAGCAACTGTGAACTCACTTGTTTTAACTGACTCCGTCTCTTTGACAAAAGCATAATATTTTCATTAAGTAAATCCCATTCTTTAGCCTCATAGCACATCTTCACTACTGCAACTAAGATCCGGGAGGTAGACACCATATCAGAAGCCTGAAAGAATGGAAACACACCACAAGTTACCAGAAGAACAGTTAGTGAAATTAATGGTGACTGAGACTTTCACTATAATCTACTTACAGTGCGGGTCTGTTTTTCCAAAGAGAGAAGGGTTTCAATGACTTCTTGAAGTCTTCCTTCCTAAAAATAATAAATAAATAAAAATGAACACAAAATGCCAACACAAAACCATCTAACTACTCGACCTGAGATGCTTCTGACAAAAACAAACAAACAAACAAAAAAAAACAACCAAGTGGCCTATCGTAGAGTGAATGGACCACCTCCATTACTACTCTTGTTTCATTTTCTCCTTCTCATGTTAGTCCTTGCTCCTCCAGTGAGTTCTGCAAGTCAGTGAATCCCAATGTGGGGCACCAGACTATTGTTAACATTTCAGAATACAGACCATGATGGCTTAAACCAAAGAAAAACGGGCCAAGGCTTTGTTTTGGATTCTGACTTACCAACTCCCTGTGAATAACACCTGTTACCTTGTTCTCCAAATGCTTACCTGGCAGTCACATGTCTTTGAAGACTAAGAATGGGAAATGAATGCTCTTTTTAAGTTCACTATAATGAGTATTTTAAAACATGAGGTTTTAAGGAGGATAAAAAAAGGTAAAAAGATAGAAAACCAAGGCTTAGTTTTTCAATGACTTTAAAAATAAGTTAATAATGTGCTTAAAGTAAATGAAGACCACCTGAGAATACCCCAAAACTATTTTAAGTGATGCTCTGAAGCAGATACTGATGCAACAGAAATACACCCCTTTGTGTTAATCGATAATACTCCCAGCTCATATGCAAACACAGAACCATCTCCCTGGGACATCATACATGAAGAAATGAGAACAAAATGTACACACCAGGACTAAAATAAGCCATCCTGATATGAATCACACATCTTCTATTGACTTAGTCTTGACTTAAAAGACTATAAATGGGAGGGGTCCATCTTCACTCCTTGTGTGCTCTAAGTCTCACCTCACCCACCACTGGAGTTCTAGCGCCCCTTCCCTCCCTGAGGTTGATGACGCCCCCTAGTCCCCACTCTGGTAACCACTATATTTTTCAGAGTCTAAAAGTTATTTTTGTTGTGATTTGTTAGTTCATTTGTTTTGGTTATTTATATTCCACATACTGGAGAAACCATCTGGCAACTGTCTATCACTTTCTGGTTTACTTCACTTAGCATAATCACCTCAAGTTCCAGCTATGTAGTTGTAAAGGCGACATCATCTTTGTTAATAGCTGAGTAGAAACCATGCATTTTGATTAAAAACAAAACCAATTTTGTTTTTGCAAAAATTGCACAAAAAATCACATTTATTTAATGTTATTAATAACTGAATCAGCTGCAAGTGATAAGAATTTTATTTAGAAACTGTTTTTCTAATCGTAAGTGAAAAATTTTGTCTTAATGATATTCATGGATGGTGCATACCATCCACGAAAGAAACTAATCAGTTTATTGATGAAAGAAACTAATCAGTTTATGAATTAAAGGGACAAGTAATATTTGGATTTTTCAAAAATCTGCTCCCCTATTTTCCTAGACAACTTTAAACTATGAATTTCTATGCTGCGTAGACATCTAGGCCCACTTTTTGAATCTACTTTAACTGAAGTTGAGACACTTCCCCACTAACAGTGTTCCTATGCAAAGGAGAGCAACTTCTGGAAGTTCTGTAAATTCACATACACAACAAATTTGTGTAAATGTTGGGCAGGGGACCAAAACTCAGAATAAATCTATAAATTCTCTAAAATTAAAGTCTAATAAATCATAAAAAGATCAAAGATTTGGAAATACTGCTAGATTATTAGATTTATACAATCATCTCATTCTGGAGTTTACAAACTACGGACCAAACAACAAAGTCACAACTCCAAAGCAGCAGATCTGAAACCCAGGGAGGGTTCTAACCTTCTTGGTCGAATGTTCTCACCACTAAATGTAGTGCAAAAATAGTTAAAATGCAAAGTACCCACAACTGCTGGTCGCCTCCTATCAGTTTACAACTTCTACCGGTCCGGTCCTGTAACCATGGCCAGCAGAATGCAGGTCACCATGTGGTACTCTATTAACAAGTCTGGGTCTAAAGGCGCACACCTGCGCACTAAGGGAACACACTGGCCAAGGCCATGGTCTGCAGGTATCAACTAAACATTAACTGCCCTTTCCTCAGAAAGGCACTATAAATTCAAGTCCCTATGAAGTCAAGTTCCTCCAGCACCTCCTTTAATACTCAAGTCCAAGGACTCTATGGTTTGCAATTCTCCTATCCTCTATTATGCTTTTAACACCTTTCTAACCTCACTGCAAAGTTTTAAAGCCTATAAGAGTGGGGGACGCCTACATTGTCCACCACTGGCACCTGGCCGAGAACATCATGGTACTTCTGTAGCTGTTATGGCACATTCCTTAATAGCTGCTCCCACAGTTATTAATGCCTATGTCTGTCTCCTAAATGGTCTGTAAGTTCCTTAGGGTGGAGCATCCTCAATTACCGATGCTTTCCTTACCAACTTGCACTGGATGGGTCAACACTGACAAATTACTCAGCTGACCCTATGACTTATACATCCTGATTCTTACTCCATAGTAAGGAGGAGTAACTTGTAACTTATCAAGTTACAGGCCTAAAGGTTCAGGGCTGTAGGTTGAGGGACACTAACAACTTGTTAAAAACACCTCCTAATTGCTAACCACCCCACTTTTCCCCTCTCAAGCTTCCACTTTAATCCTCAGGCTAACTATATTCCTCTAGTCTTTCACACCTATTTATATTCTGTAAAATTCTACCTTCTTGATAGCTCCTTTTCACTCAAAGGGAAAGATGGTCCAGGCTATCAAAACCTTATTTGTTAGAACGAATGACTTTTGTAACTCATTTTCTTCATTAAAATAATCCTTGTAAATGGAGGATTATTATTGTAAATGAGGTAAATGATGGACTTTGTTCAAAAATCCACGCTGGGTGTTGAGAAGTTCTGAGTGCGGGTTCTTTAACTCCAATCTTTCAATGATTTGTCAAACCTGGACAAGGAAAGGTCAAAGAAGAATCACAAATAGCTGAACTTTAATGCCAATTCAACTTTCAAAGACCTTTCTCTTAGAGACCTTTTTTCCAAGTTGCTAGAAACCAGCGAACTGTTTCACACTGTCACCGAGGATAAGAAAGCAACTCTCTCCCACTTTAGCCCTCTCTTCAGTGAAACTGCTTAACAGCTCCCATCTCCTAGGGCTTGTCTAAGTATTAAAGAACAGAGTATGCCAGGGACATAGTGCACACATCATCAGTACAACAGCTACGATTATACACTTACTTTCATATTACTGTTATTTGCTAGTGAATGTGGAGAGACAAGATGTCCAGTCACCAAGGTGTGAAACTGTACCACTGAAACCTGTACAGTGCTTAAATTTGTGTTATTTCAGTAAAAAGAAAGAAGACACTGAAACAGAATGGCACTAGATCATAACTATCAGAGTCAAATAATTTAGTTTCTGCAATTTTAGCAACCAGGTCTGGACTTCATTCTGCCCTTGGAAGGCTTCTGCTATATGTAGTCTTCTTCTTTTTCTTTTTTTAAAAATTTATTTATTTATCCATACAGAACTGGGGTACAAACCAGATATGCACGGGCAGTGAGAGAATTCACCAGACACAGCATGGGGAGCAGAACAGGCAGACTGATGGAGTACACTGCTGAGGGGAGCAGCCGGTGGGTCAGGAGAGGTCTGCCCTGCCATGTGGCTCACCTCTGGGGTGGGGGATCAAACTGGCACTGATACAGTTGCAGCCAGCTTGCAGTGCTGTGTCCTAACCCGCTGCGCCACCAGAGAGGGCCTCTGAGACATTTGTATGAAGTCTCGAGACACACAGAGTTTAATCTCCAAATGTCTTTCACATAAAAAATAAAATGTCTTAAAGAAAGTAAGTGCAAAATTGAGAGTCCTTTCAAGAGGTCCCCAGAAGACAGAGCTTGATTTGGTTCTGCTGTAGACTCTGGATATATCACTTAAATAACTGAATCTTAAGTTTTTTCACAGTAAAGTAAGAACAATGAAAATTCCTTCAGCTTTATTGACAAGCTAAACAAAAACAAAAGAATATATGGTAAAGCATTCTACATATTTCAGTGTAGAAATGCAATGCTAAATAAGCTTTTTCTTTTTTTTGGTTTGGCAGACTGGTTAGAAAATAATATGCTGCATAAACAGCAAAACAGAGTATATTTAAAAAATTAACTAGAACTGTAGACAACCATCTGATTCAAAAACTGAGGCTCTATATTAAAAAACAAACTACTGAGAGGTGGGGCAAGAAAATAAATCTGATACCTTATTTCCCAGCCTTCTTCCCATGTCACCTCCTCAAAACCCCCAAAATAATCCACTCCTGTGCCCCGTTTTGTTCAAATGGCATATTAGTTAAAAAAAATCAGAATCCAGGGCTTCTCTGGTGGCACAGGAATTAAAATCAGTGCAATCACGTTATCCCCAGCCACTGCAGCCTGAGTTTGATCGCAGGGCAGGGAGGCGACCCACAGGGCGCAGCAGACCTCTCCTGTCTCCCCACTGCTCCCCTCAGCAGTGTAATTCAGTAGATTCTCCTGTTCTGCATTCCACCCTGTCTCTGGTGAAACCTCTCATCCACAACACCTCTGGCCTACACCCCTGTTTTTGTATGCATAAATAAATGAAAATCTTAGAAAAAAATTAGAATCCAAATATCTTAATCTAGTTTAACAGGAGCCAAAATTCCTGTTTTAAACATTTCAGTTACCCATTTAACACCTAAAAAGCTATTTGGCATTTGTAGTTTGTCTTTTTAATCATATGAACATAATAATGTCCTAAATAAATGGCATAAATGTGATCACTAGAACAACTATAGCAGTGAAATATTTTTTCCCCTTACTGGCTTATAAATTATACGAGCGCATGAATTCTAATAATCTTTACATTCCCCACAGTGTCTAGCACTGACTAGGTCTTGCATACAGCAAACTATCAAAAGAAACTGTTTTATCTCCCAGATCTGTTTTTGGAATAGCTGTAATTCTTTTAAACAAATTTATTCTTCACGGACATGTTAATTCTATTCATTCTGAAATGGTAGTTCAAATGCTGACTTTGGCTGTTAGGTATCCTTTGTTTAATCTATAGGATAATGGCTCAAACAGTATTTTAAAAGATTAGTGTCCAGTTTCTAAATAGGGAGGCTTTTAGTATGAAATCTATATTCCTGCTTTCTGCCTCAAGTTAGAAGAGATGACAGATCTCTTCACCCCCAACTGAAAAACGTTAACTGGAGGTGAAGACTTACTGCCCCTGTCAGTAACTTAGTGCTCAGTAGCTCAGTTTCCATTACTCTTGGCTCACTAGGCAAGACAGCATGGTGAGGGCACACCCTAGCCTCAGTCAGCTGGGCTAGCATCTGGCTCCAGCACTTCACTAGGGTACAACCTCAGAACAATGGGTCTCAATTTCTCTTACTCTGTTTTCTTGACCTGAAAATAATAATATGTATCACGTGGGGCTGAAGACCAAATGTTACATGCATTTAAGCATTTATCTATTGTCTAGCCCAGTAGAAAGTACCCAATACATGTCAGCTACTGTTATCTTCCAGCCACTCCGTGTTGTGTTTGAGTTTCCCCACCCCATGTAAATGACCACATTTCTTCACACCAGCTGCTAGAAAGTTCGGGGATAAATTTATGGCTCGTCTCCCTCAAGGGTACTTGAACCTGAAAGAAATAGGTGTACCTGCTTCATCACCTTACCCTACACTTATTTTATATAAAGCCCCATTAAATTCTTTTTTTTGGGGAAAAAAAAAGAGCAACATTAAAAGGTTTCTAAGAACTAAATGTGAAGTAGCACTTAACATTCTTCTTGACCCTGAATTTATTACACTTCAATATACTCATACAGTAAGCTCCTTAAGGAATAAAAACAACTCTATTACCAAATTCATCCCAGGTGAACAGCAATAAATGTTTGTGGCTGGACTGATCAAGGAATTTAATGAGGCCTGAGCATAAACCTGAGCAACAGCCTATGGTGGAGTTGATTCAGCAAGCACCCCATATGCCAGTCAGGTAGGCCAAGTTTTCAATCTTGGTTCTAACTATTACTAGGTGTACCACGGGACAAAAAAGAAAAAAACTAAACTCAGCCTTGATTTCTCTGTATGTAAAATGATACACAAATTGCCTGACACATAGCAGGGAGGCAGGATCAAGGTAAATTTCTCTCCCATGGGCGATAAGCAATCGGGCTAAAGTACTGTTCAAGACCTCCTTTAATTTGTTTATTTGTACTTTCGTGCCTATTTGTCTTTGCTTCTGTGCTTCCCCCTCCAGGAAGCACTCCTTCCCACTGCGATCTTACATTCTTCAAGACCCAACACAAACGCTAACGTCTCTGAAACACTTCCTTCTCCCTTCCAGTAGCACTTCATACTTGACAGGCACTCACCACCTTTCACGGCTGTCTAGTAGGTTACATACACGAACCCCTTAAGGACTGGGGGGTCTGCGCCCATCACCTTCCCACAACCACTTTCCTGCCCCCTCTAGGCCAGGCACCACGCTACGATGGGGAAGAACCTTTTCACACACCGCTCGGCATGGGCGAACGGAACGAAACTCTCCGATCTAGCCAGTACGATGAGGCTGCCTTTGCCTTAATCCTCGAGGAACTCTCAGAGTAAACGTCAGGCAGTATCCAAGAAGAGGCAAAAACAAACAAAACCAAAAAAAAAAAAAAAGAGGGCCCCAGCTCCCACGGGGATGAAGTGACCACCGGCGCCGCGGAGGGTCGGGGACGCTGGAAGCACCGGCGGACTCGGCCGGGCGTCTTCCAGGTCGGTCAGACCTGGGATCTCCGACTTACGCAGCCCCGACCCGGGCAAGGCAGGCAATGGGGGGGATGCGCGCTCCAGCCCGCAGGCCCCCTGAGGCCTACAGGCTGCGCGCCGTGACTCAGCCCCTGGCGCCCGCCAACAGCCAGCCGGCCTCACCTCACCTTGGCCAACTTCTCGCACTCGGGCAGACGCTGGTCCACCGTGGCGCTGTAGTCCACCTCCATCTTGACAATGCGCCCATCTGCGCGCTCCGAGCCGCCGTCCGCCATGGTCCCTGCTTGAGCGCCCCTGGATGTCCCCCTGCTTCGGCCACAGCGAATCACCCACACCGGAAACAGCCCGCACACCCGCGCAGGCAGCGCGTCGGAAGCCCGCGCGAAGGACCCCGCGAGGCCCCCTGCGCCGGCCGCCAGTCAGGCACTGGCGCGGGCAGCCCGGGGGCGGGGCGTGGGTGTGGGCGGGGCTTGCCGCTTGCCTGCAGCCGCGGCCCGTCTTGGCTTGGGCGACGGACCTTCCCCGTCTGGAAGTTGTGGTGAGAGAAACCAGTGGACTAGAATAGACCGCACCATGTAGTGTGGAATACTGTGACTTATTCCAACCATGGGCAAGACCTGTAACCCTACAGGGTTGTGGGTTTTCTACCCGAGTTCTGAGGTCTTGGTGGCTTAAAGTGTGGACTTTCTGCACGTTCCCAGGAGGAGCGAGGGCTTCAGCTGAGCAGGATAAAGCCATTTTTGTTTTGTTTTCGCTTTTACTGTCATCCACTTCGTTGGTAAGAATCATCTTTCAGGAGGATATTCTATTTGCTAATCCTGTAGAGCGCTTATACTCATGCATTGAGATCAAATAGGCAAGAATATTTCAGTTCTTGAGCTCAGCGCAGGTTTTATTACCAACCACACCGTCTGTGCGCTGATTTCAGACACTTAGGATCCTGGAACGTGCTGTGAGGTGTTGAAGCAGGAAGTTTGCTAGGTCTGCTTAGGTCTGCTACTTTCCCAGGCCTGCTGCTTGGGGGAGGCTGTTGCTTGGATTCTGCTGCTCCCTGGAGCAGAAAATTCCTGCAGGGTGCAGCTGGCACTCCGTAGTGCCTGTGGCTACCTTGATCCCCTCCCAAACAATAAAGAATGCTTATGCTGTGATGATGGATGGGATGACAGGGTTCCTCCTCTGGCCTGTATAAAACCTCACCGCTCCTGTCATTCAGGGCTCAGCCTTTGGGGACTGATCCCACTAAGCTCCCTCCACCTCCCTGAGTGCCCTCTGATTTCTCTGGGAAATGAGTGTGTGGTGTGGCCAAAAGCATCCGCTGTAACTTGGGGGGCAAATAGGAAATTTTGGTGTGATCTAGCTGTTTGCAATTTAATCAGCACCAACATATCTCTATGCATGCCAAAGAGACATTTTACGATTTTACAGATTTATTGATTTGTTTATTCACATGTACAGGAACTGGGGTGCAGGCCAGAGGTGTGGTTGGTGAGAGGATTCATCAGAGATGGAGCAGAACAGGAGAATCCACTGAAATACACTACTGAGGGGAGCAGCAGGTGAGCCAGGAGAGGTCTGTTGCACCAAGTGGGTCAGCTCCCTGGCTGGGGTTGGAACTCAGCCAGTAGCTGGATAGCTTAATAGACTTTAACCCCTGTGCCAGGGAGGCCCCAATATTTTACTGTTTTATGAAAATCAGATAATAGAATCCATCTGTACATAGGTAAAGCAAGACAGACAGCATCCTAGCTGTGAAGGATAAACCTTTTTTTTTTTTAAAAGATTTATTTATTTATGCATACAGAACTGGGATATAGGCCAGAGATGCAGGGGTGGTGAGAGGATTCACCAGAGACAGAGTGGGGAGCAGAACAGGCCAAATGATGAAGTACACTGCTGAGGGGAACAGTGGGCTGGTCAGGAGAGGTCTGCCATGTGGGTCACCTGGAGGCAGGAGGGTTGAACTCATGCTCAAGTGGCTTTAGCTTCTTAGTGCTATGCTTTAACTTGCCACCAGGGAGGGCCCAAGGATAAACCTTTTAAGAGAGCAAAATAGTATATATATTTTCCAAAGTGTAAAGGCTAGAATAAGTCTACAGTAGAAATAACAAAGACATGGCCATTTATAGCCACACATAAATGTGTGTGCAAATAGGTGTGTTTTGTTGGTTCCTTAAGCATCAAAAGGCCTTTTTGGCAGCCACATTTTTCCAAAATTGGTGTACAATTGGGTAAAATTCCGACTTACAGTATAATCTTCATTGTTTTTCACACAGACAAGTTCTTAGACATTTTAGCGCATATTAAAACTTAATAAGTACAAGGGGATTGCAACTGAGGTGGAAAAGTGCACAAAAATATGTAAAAATAAACTATTATAGTAATAAAAAAAAACCTTAAAAAAATAGCCTGGCACATGTCAGTCTTCCATGATCCTCACCTGAAACACAAAATGTTATAATGCAATGTCACTTCAAAAAAAAAAAAGATAGAAAATTAAAAAAAAAAAAAAACATGGTGTATATAAATTGGAGCTAGAGTCTAGACCTCAGACATCTGAGTAGGAGTCTGGCAGGACAATCAAGTCTCATGGAATGTGAGGCCATATTTTATTGTGTAGGCTGGTTACATTGCAGGCGCTAACATCCCTCTTCTCTCAAATGATTGCAGCAACCCCAAATCTCCTTCTCCGTTTCTGATACACATGCCAGGGGCTATGTTGAGATGCACTAGGCTAAGATGTTTTTGGCTCTTTACTTGGTGTGAAGTTGCATTGACTACTGTACCTGGACAAGGGAATTAGAGGGCTACATTTGTGTGAAGAGTTTGGGAAGACAGTAAGATGTGAGCGACTAAATAAATGTGTGGTTTCCAGAGTTAAACACTAAGAGTGGGCCTCCCTTGTGGCACAAGAGTTAAAGACAGCACTACCAAGCTACTGCCAGCCACTGTGGCATGAGTTCGGTCCCCAGCCAGGGAGCTGGGCGACATGGTGCAGCAGACCTCTGCTCATCCACTGCTCCCTTCAGCAGTGTGTTTCAGTAGATATGTCTGTTCTGCTCCCCTCTCTGTATCTGTCCCCCCCTCTGACCTACACGCCAATTCTTGTATACGTGTGTATACACACACACACACACACACATATATATTTAAAAACTCAGAGTGGAGAATGCATAGGGAGATGGAGAGTTTTTGGGGGTGGGGGTGGGGGAGTGGTTCTTAGAACCATCTCAGAGGCATGCAGGAGATGAGAAAGTTGTGGTTGACTCCTAATCCAAGCTGAAGCCCTTCCTTGCTAGGTTTGGAGATGAAAAATTAAAAACTGAAATCTAAGGAAAAGGTTGCAAAGGAAACAAAACAAAAAACTGAGATAAATAAAGGGACTCAGTAAAATTCTGAGCAACGGTTAGGAGAAGAAAATACCGTATTATACACACACTATAAATTCTCTACTTATAAAGTTATGACTGTAAGAAAGGCTTTTGTATCAGAAAATAAAAATTGGCAGGAGAGAAATAAGGTAGAAGTACTGATTGGACAGTTTCTTCAGAAATAATTTTGAAACCGTATGGTAATTATTGTGTTTGATTTTTTTTTTTCACATTTGGTATTTCTGGCAATGTATTCATCATGCACATATCTGACCCAGAGCCAGAGGAGAGCTGAGGAAGCCACATGGAGGAACAAGCACGGTTTCTTCATCACATCCTGCTTCCTTCCTCCCTTCAGATTCCTTCTCTCCCCTTTTCTCTGCTCAGCTCCACCCTCTTTCTGGGTGGGGCAGGGAACAGGGAACTTCCCCTTTTTTTTGGGAACCACCCTGTTACACTACCTTTGTGAAGTGGGGGAAAGGCTGAAAATAAGCATGTAGATAGACATCTGGAAGGATAGTATTTGGGAAGTGGTCAAGGAAGTTTTGGCAGTAAGCCAAGACAGGAAATAAATAAGCGGGTCTTGTAAATTTATTTTTGCATAGAAGAACTGGGGTGCAGGCCAGAAGTGTGGGGGTGGGGGTGGGGTGAGAGGATTCACCAGAGACAGAGTGGGGAGCTGAGCAGGCCGATCTACTGAAATACACTGCTGAGGGGAGCCGTGGGTGCTGCACCATGTGGGTCAGCTCCGTGGCTGGGGATGGAATTCATGCTGCAGTGGCTGCAGACAGCTTCACAGTGCTGAGACTTAATCCCTTGTGCCACCAGAGAGGCCCTGTAAGCTGCTGATTTTGAAGGCAATGGGAGAACTTGGTATTTTCAAGTTGCCTCTGAATCATTTTTTAAAGAAAATGATACTGTATTTGATGTTTTGACTGCAGTCTAGGTCCTGTATTGGAGTGAATTCATGTCAAGTGAAGGTAATTATACCAGGCTTGAATAAATAGTCAGAGCTAAGCCATTATATTCATATACTCTTACTGCTCTAACAAATGACTACAAATTCAGAGACTTAGACAAAAAAATACTTTCATCATCTGGGATTTAGAAGTCTGACATTGTATGTCTGGCCAGTAATCAAGGCAGGGCAGGGCTATACTCCCTCCCAGAGGGCAAGAACTATCTATTCCTTGCCTCTTCTAGCTTCTTTTTTGTTTTGTTTAATTTTTTTTACTTTATATATGTATATTTTTATGTCATTCTTCATTTTGTGCTTTTTTTCATCTCAGTTGTGATCCCCGGGGACTCCCCACCACCACTTCACCCCTGTGCCATCACCGTAGTCCCGTGCTCTCTTCCGGCCCCAGTTTTGATCCTGTTCCCTTTTCACCCCTGTAGAATGTCTCTGGTTTCCAGTTGTTGATTTTCATTTTTACTTTATTACAATTACTTTTTAGTCCCTGATTCCTAACATTCCTGCTATGAGTGAAACCATCCCATATTTTTCTTTTCTTTCTGGCTTATTTCACTAAGCTTGATCCCTTCCAGTGCCATCCATGTTGTGCAAATGGCATGAGTTTATCTTTTTTGATTGCTGAGTAATCTTCCATAGTGTATATGCACCCCATCTTCTTGATCGTCTTGATCCAGTCATCTGTTTTGGGCATTTGGATTGATTCCCCATCTTCCCTATATAAATTGTGCTGCAATAAACATAGGGGTGCAGGTGTCCTTTTGAATTAATGTTTGTGTGTCCTTTGGGTAGACCCCTAAGAGTGGGATTGCTGGATAATGTGGAAGCTCCATTTTCAGCAGTTTGAGAAACTTCCATACAGCTTTCCATAGTGGTTGTACCATTTTGCATTCCCACCAGCAGTGCAGGAGAATTCCCTTTTCTCCACATCCTCGCAAATATTTGTTATTGCTAGTTTTTTTTTAATATGCGCTATTCTCACCCTTGAGGTGGTATCTCGTAGTGGGTTTTGATTTGCATTTTCCATAC